ACCGTAACAGGAGGAGGATGAAAAATAAGAGAATTCAAATAAATACTTTTAGAAAACAAAGAAATGGAAAAAATAACAAAGCGTAGAAATAAAGGAATATTATAGACATGCAATAACGAAACGTTTTTTCGACACTTAAAAAAAATAAACGGGAAAAGCAATTTCTACGTTTAAATAAAATAAAAGATAATTATTGCTGATATTATTCTTGCATGCCAGAAAAATCGATGAGATATCAAGGATTACATTGAGGAGTAAATTGCCTAAAAATTTGGGGACCCCCTACTTTAATTCGTCTCAAATTATTTTGTTCAATACAAACTATTTTAAATTGTAAGAATCATAATGAATGAGTACAAGTTTAAGTGACGATTATGGGCAATGATCCAAACAATGTTTTTTCTTGTCAGCCTCCATCTTACACATCTACATATCTACCATTCGTCCGTGCATTGAATTCTGTTGTCATATCTGGTCTGGTGCTTCTAATGTTCATTTCGAGATTCTCTACAAAATCCAAAAACGGATCTGCAATGTAATCGATGCTGACCTGGCATCTCGACTTCAGTCACTCTTCCATAGACATGATGTGTCTTCACTCTGTCTTTTCTACAAATATTTTCATGACTACAGTTATGACGAGCTTTTTTTTTTCCACATAGTGCCCTGACTACATGAATTTAAGTGTGCTACTTGATTAGTATTTGGTCCCACCATTTTACTGTTCAAATAGTTAAATATAACCACCACTTCTATTCCAAAAGTTTCTTTTCTTGCACTTCCTGACAGTGGGACTCCATTTCTCTTACTTGCTTCCCTAATAACTGCGATCTTCATAAATTTAAATGCAGGGTCAATCGCTATTTTCTGTTGATTTGAATCCCGTTCATTTTTATCCTTTCCTCACCCCCACCATACCCAATCTTTTATCTCACTTTTTGTAAACCCCTTCGTACTAGTAGCACTCCCACTTTTCATGGGTTGAAATACATAAAAAAAAACTTACATTTTATTAAAAAAAAGATATAGAATTTCTGATTTCTGAATATAGTAAATACGCTTTTTTGTATGATAACAAAAGTAGAGAGCAGAAAAAATGCTAAAAGGTATCTGCATCAGGTCATACTATACCTAATTCCTGAGCTTGGAACAGAAAGAAATATGAAAATTCATATTTAATTAGAATATTTCCTTTAAATTATGACTCATATTTAACAATAACTTTCTTCAAATGATTCACATACATTTCTAAAAATATTCCAGTTAAAAGGAAAGAAATGTAGCTAAAGTAAGTTCTGTCATGTCATGCATTTAAGAACTTCTCCATATTTTGCAATAGTTCTTAATCAGTTCGAACAAGATCTCGAGAATAAAATTTATTTTAATTATTACGAATCTTATATTTTCAGTCTTCAGATCTGATCTCGGCTCAATAATATCGACATCTGTTGTAAACATGACATTTTGTTAACCAATCAAACTGGACCACATCAAACTTCTAACAAGCGACATTTGTTGTAATCATGACACTAATTGTTGACAAATCAAACTGGACCATATCAAACACTCAAACTTCTAACAACAGACATCTGTTGTAATCATGAGACTAATTGTTGACAAATCAAACTGGACCACATCACTGCAAATCCAATACACACGTACGTAACTTATCTTAGAGGAAACTTCATTTTTTTTCTGTTTGCATGACTCTTCACCAACATCTTGTTAAATTTACAAAAGAGAACACACACTTTTCTTGATTTTTAATGCAGCTAGCTTGTTGGAATTAAAGATAATGAAACATAAGAACATTGATTGAAATTCTGCTATGAATTTCCTGAGCAATTAACTTCCAAATAAAAATCTTTCAGTTTCAGATTCAATAATTATTTACATTTCATCAGTATGACTGATACTAACCACTTGGAGAACGACACGTTGCATCATGATTATAATTGCTAGGTGTGCTACTAAGAACGTTGGTTTACCTTGTCGTGCTAGATAATTTTTCTGAATTTATTTTACATATTTATAAGTCCATACTTAGAATATTACTACCACATATGGTCTGCTGATCCTACTATATATTTAGAGATCCTTGATAAAATCCAAAAATGTATCTGCAGTATCATTGGTCCTGACCTGGCATCTTGGCTTCAGTTACTTTCCGATCGTTCTAATGTATCTTCCCTGTGCCTTACATTCAGTAACTCCTTGAGTCTCAGCAGCTTTGTTGCCATGCTTGGGGTGAAATGATTAAAACAAATATTTTATAGATACTGAGGAAAAAAGTAAACGAAAATGCTTAGGGACTGTAAATTCTGACTGAAAAAGTATGCCTTCAGACAAGAAGTAAGCCTTTTAACAGTCAAACTAAGAGAAGACAACGTGACAAAACAATGTTTAATATCCTATTTAAGAGAGAATCTTGACAAAATCTAAAGATGGATCTGTAGTGTAAACGATACTGACCAGTTTTCTCGACTCCAGTCACTTTCTCGCCGACGTGACATGGCTTCCCTCTGCCTTTTCTAAAAATATTTTAATGACAATTGTTCTGTTGAGCTTTTTCTCCTGGTACCTTGAATACATAAATTTAAGTACGCTACTACATTAGCATCTAGGTCCCACTCTTTTACAATTGAACTACCACTTCTATTCTTACAGTTTTCTTGCACTTCCCAACAGTGGAACACCCTCTCTCTTACTTATTTCTATAATAACTGCAATCTTCATAAATTTAAATGCAGGGCCAATCTCCATCTTCTGTTGACTTGAGCCTCGTTCATTTTTATCATTTCCTCAATTCCTCATACTCTATACATTAACATCTAGGTCCCACACTGTTGATAGCTAAATCCAACTGCTACTTCTATTTTAATAGATTTTTTTCTTGCATTTCTCACCTATTGAACTCTCTTCCGAGTTCTTGCTTTCTTGATAACTTCAATTTTCAAAATGCAACGTCAAGCACCATTTTCTGTCTTCTTGAACCCCGTTGTCTTTTGTCCTTTCCTCAAACCTTCCTATTCTCAGCCTTCTCTTTCTCTTTCACTTCCTTGTAACCCCTGCGAACTGGTGGGATTTCCGCCTTGTTGGCGGGAAATGAAAAAAAAAGAGCTTCTCTCATTGGAACATTTCGAAAAATAAACTGCTTTTAATGGATTTATAATAGAGTAATTAAAAAAAAATTGAACTTAAAAAGTGGAAAAATGTCAGTTATATTTTGACAGGCGCTGCTCAGTTCTTATTTTCAAGTAGTAACATTTCAAAATTCTGTACGCCTTTCCCAGGGATACAACGTCGCGAACATATTGCTAATCTTCACTATTTTCCTAACAAGTTCTGTTGTTTAATACCACCAGTTCAGACATTTGGCGCTAGGACACATCATACTGTATCCAAGGAGCCGAAAAATCATCATTTCATCCGCGTTCCGAAAGTAAGGAGTAAGTATCACACAGACAGCTTTATTCCAAAGAAATACAAATTTGTAGAACACACTTTCCCATATGTACTTCGGAGCACTATGGTCTTAAACTCTTCAAAGCAAGGGTGAATTGCTATTTGTCCATTTTATCATCATTTTCATCACTTCCTACTATTTCCTATTTCATTCATGAAAAACACTATATTTATCATTACCATTTTAAAAGAAATCATCTGACTTGAATGTTACTTTAGCCTTATATTGTGTCAAATTTAGTGATACGCAGACATACTTTTATATATATATATATATATATATATATATATATATATATATATACGTGTATATTTTTATATGCCATTATTGATACACACTTGTATATATACATATATATGTGTGTGTATATATATTTTATATGATATTATATTGAAACACACACATACACACACACACATACACACACACACACACACACACACACACACACACACACACACACACATATATATATATATATATTTCATTTCATCTTTCGAGCATTGAGCACGTTTTTTTTTTAAATAAATATTAAGATCTGTAGATTCTTACTCAATCTGTTCTTACTCTTGTTTTGTATATATATATATATATATATATATATATGTACGTGTGGAGAGAGAGAGAGAGAAAGAGAGAGAGAAATAGTGAGAAATTGAAACTTATCCACATTTAAGTTTTTTTAACTTTGATGATAGACCAACCTGTTTCATAAATAAATCGTGCCAAAAGTGTAAACATTTTCTCACTTCCTTTGGACGCTGATTCGTTTTTAATAATCTGAACACTGGTTCAAATTATCTTCTCAGTGAAACAATCTTCTTGCTAAATCATCTCATTACTCCTGATACATCTTAGCATTACGGACGATAACAAATAGAAACCTGCTTCTAAGATGCAGACTTTCTGTCGTCAAGGCAATTAGTAACGTATTGCACGGTTAATGAATCCTAATTACCATAAAGAATTCAGAACTCTCAAAAATAAATTGAATGGATTCAGGCACATACTATAAAGATTAAATCAAGTTCCTATTGGGTCGTTCGTGCAAGGCTGATGACATGCCAAGAGTTATAAGAGTATGTAACCGCCTGTTAACGTCCATTTAGACTCCTTATTTTGTAATATCTAAAAGATTGACTTAAGTCCTATATATATAAAAACCCCGTGTTGGATATCCTTAATGATCAATGCGGAAATATTCTGAAAAGCGACAATTTCTGAATATAGGTATAATGACAATAAATATTTTAGTTTGTGCTTTAGGTATAATCTGGAAATTATCAGAAAACACTTGTTGACTCACCAAACTTGATTATGTTGCATATCGAAGAATATTGGTAGATTAGATTCTCTGGATGATGGGAATAAACATAGGAATATATTTAATAAACAAATATGATTATTAATTAAATATTGAGTATCTACAAGGACTTTATTCAAAGTTGCTTTCATATTTTTTGTGTTTTCCTTATATCATTTCATCCGAAGCAAGACGATAATTGCACTAAAACGCTGTGTTACTGAGAATGAA